AAGGGGCTTGGTGTATGTTTGTTAAACCAATTGTTAAAAATTCTCCTTTTACAGCTGTAGGAACTGAGGACCATGGGAATGGGGGTGGAGAGGCAGGGGATCCCCAAAGCCCTATTTTTGCCCCCTCGGGAGTTGAGTCGAGGGATTCTGACTCCTAGCTGGGGTCTTTTTCCTCTGCATGTTGCTCCCTGGGGATAGGAGTGGACATGGCTCCCTTGGCATGGTCCGGGGCTGACGGGAAGGGCCTGCAGGCACCCAGATTCTGGGATGAAGCAGTGATTCTGTGAAAGGCAGGCGGTGGGGCTGGGGAGACAGGGTCAAGCTGGAGAGATCCTGGCATCACAGAGTGAGTGTCTTGCCCCCAGCGCTTCCCAAAACACCAAAAGCTGAACTTACTGGAGCTTTTGGGTGTCACACAGCTGTGGGCACCCGAGAGGACTTGTGACGTTTCTTTTTCTCTCTTTCCCTCTTTTTCTCTCCTTTTCTTCCTCCACAGGTTCAGGAAGGTATAATTTACAGACTGTAAAGCGCTCTCATTGTCAGTGTACAATTCCATGATTTTTCATAAATTTACAGAATCGTGCAGTCATCACCACAGCCCGGTTTTAGATCATTTCCACGATCCCAAAAACTTCCCTCTCGTCAGTTTGCAGTCAATTCCTGGCCCCACCTCCAACCCCCGGCAACGACCGATCTGCCTGCTGCCTCGCCAGATTTGGTTCTTCTGGAAATTCCATAGAAATGGAATCATACAATCCTCTTCTGTCTCAAATGCTTTTCTATTGAACATCTGCCCGACGTACAACCCAGCCATTCCACTTCACGAGTGACTACAGATATCCAGCAGGAAACCGATCGAAATTGGTGTTAGCAGCAATGTCTGCAGTGTCTACAGGGAGGTAACATAACGCGGGTCTCCTAAATGAATTTAACTAAACGGACCCACAGGACAGCGAGAATGAAAGCGTGAAAGCTACCTGCTGCCTCCCTGGGTTACTCTTTCTTTCTCTGAAAGAAGCAAGACACAAAGAAATCTTCAATATGTAGCACAAAGATCAGCAGAAACAGGAAATATGGCATTCGGGGATTTACGCATAGGCAGTCAGCATAGACAGCGAGGGAATGAAGAATTTGAAAGGCGAGACAGTGGCTCCCTCTTGGGAACTGGGGGGCTGCACTGATGACACGAATTGCTTGACACTTAATGATGAACCATTTATGGGCCTGGCTGGTGGGTACGTGATCACTTATTGACTTTTAACTGTGTGTGGACATTTTCATACACTTTTGGGTATCCATATTTCCCAATATATTTTTTTTAAAGATTGGCACCTGAGCTAACATCTGTTGCCAATCTTTTGTTTTTCTTCTTATTCTCAAAGCCCCCCCCCCCCCCCCCCGGCCACCCCCAGTGCATAGTTGTATATTCTAGTTGTAGGTCCTTCTGGTTGTGCTATTATATTTCCCAATTTTTAAAAGACTGAAAGGAAAAGGAAAAAAATAGGGATAGACAGAGCCATGCCTTTATCTATCTGTCTTCTCCACAACAAAGTGGATATGATGAAGTAAAGCCTTGGTTTGTTCTTTGTTTTAGACCAGAGGTCAGTAAAAGATAGCCTGTAGGCCAAATGAGGCTCGTAAGCTAAGAATGGTTTTACATTTTTATTTTATTCATTTGTTTATTTATTTTTGGCGAGGAAGACTGGCCCTGAGCTAACATCTGTTGCCAATCTTCCTCCTTTCTTCTTTTTTCTTCCCAAAGCCCTGGTACCCAGTTGTATATTCTAGTTGTGAGTGCCTCTGGTTGTGCTATGTGGGACGCCACCTCAGCATGGCTTGATGAGCGGTGCCATGTCCGTGCTGAGGATCTGAACCAGCGAAACCCCGGGCCGCCAGAGTGGAGCACATGAGCTTAACCACTCAGCCACAGGGCCGGCCCCGGTTTTACACTTTTAAATGGCTGGAAAAAATCAAAACAAGATCATCTCATAATATGTGAAAATTATGTGAAATTCAAATTTCAGTGTCCATAAATAAATTTCATTGGGATGCAGCCACATCCATTTGCTCATATGTGTATGGCTGCCTTGTGCTCTAATGGCAGAGTGGGCAGCGCAGACAGGGACCTCGTGGCCCACAGAGAATAAAGTATTCACTCTTTGGCCCTTTACAGAAAAAGTGTGCTGACCCGATTTAGACCCAGAGTCCACAGTCCATGGCCTGCAGGAGATGCTCAGGAAACTACGTCTGGTTAATAATAAGACAGTGTCGAAAGCCAGAAAAATTTAGCATTGAAGGTTTTCTTTTGGTCAGTTAATAAGCTTGGTGTTTCACCTATGTGCTGTGGTGGACAGAAGAATGGCCCCTGAAGATATCCACACCCTGATCTCCAGAGCCTGTGAATATCTTACCTTACACGGCAAATGGGAATTAAGGTTGTAGATGGATTTAAGGGTGCTAATCAGCTGATTTTGAGAAGGTGGATGATCCTGGATTACCCAGGTGGGCCCAACGTAGTCACAAGCGTCTTTATATATGGAAGTGGAAGGACTCGTACAGAAGAGTTAGGATCAGAGGGATGTGATCTGAGGACTCAACCATGGTTGCTGGTTTTGAAGATGGAGGAAGGGGCCATGAGCCAAGGAACGCAGGTGGCTCCAGATGCTGGAAAAGGCAAGAACATGGATTTTTCTCCTAGAGCTTCCAGAAAGGAATGCAGCCTGTGGACACCTTGATTCTGGCCCGGGGGGACCCCTTTTGGACTTCTGACTGCTAGAGATGTAAGATAACAAACATGTGTTATTTAAAGCCACTACATATGTGGAAACTTGTTACAGCAGCAACAGGAAACTAATACATGTCCTGAACTCTGAACGTGACAATGAAAACACCCATTGCTTCGAAACTCAGAAGAAGCCATTTCACAATGGCAAGTTTCCTTACATGCTGTGTTTCAGCTTCCTCATTTATAAAAAGGAGATGTTCATGGGCTGGCCCAGTGGTGCAGTGGTTAAGTTTGCATATTCTACTGTGGCAGCCCAGGGTTCGCCGGTTCGGATCCCGGGTGTGGACATGGCACCACTTGGCAAGCCATGCTGTGGCAGGCGTCCCACATATAAAGTAGAGGAAGATGGGCATGGATGTTAGCTCAGGGCCAGTCTTCCTCAGCAAAAAGAGGAGGATTGGCAGCAGATGTTAGCTCAGGACTGATCTTCCTCAAAAAAAAAAAAAATAAGTTAAGTTTTTTTTTAAAAAAAGGGGATGTTCAAAGTGTTTCTCCGTGGAGTGCTGGTCATAAATGAGGTGATACCTGCAAAGCCTTGCTCATGGTGAGGGACACAGAAATTTTCACCCTTATTACAGGAATGAACCCAAAAAAATCATTGTTGGTAGAAAAGATGGTGAAAACATAGACTAGAAAGAAAACTCACCTGTTAATAAAGAAAATGCCCAAACTCCTACGCATCTAATAACACTGTCTCCAAACACATTAAGTAAGAATTAACAAGGCTCTAAGACTTTGATAATCCACTTCCAGAGTGGGCTGTTGTATTATGAACTTGCTCAGTAAATGATGGAACAGGAGTCAAAAATCTTACAATCAAGAGATTGTAAAGGGGCCGGCCCAGTGGCATAGTGGTTAAGTTCACGAGCTCCCCTTCAGTGGCCCAGGGTTTGTGGGTTCGGATCCTGGGTGTGGACCTACACACCGCTCATCAAGCCACACTGTGGTGGCGTCCCACATACAAAATGGAGGAAGATTGGCACAGATGTTAGCTCAGGGACAATCTTCCTCACCAAAAAAAAAAAAAAAGAGAGAGAGAGAGAGAGAGAAAGATTGTAAAAACACTCAAGAAGCTTAACCATTCAGACATGTACTGAATGCTGAACCCACCCCAAATCAAAGAAATGAACAGTACTTTGAAATACACAAGAGGCAGTTATAAAAAAACTGGCCACACACTAGGGTTAGCATTTAGCACTTCACTGAATCATAAAAATCTCCCCTAAAATGCTTTCTAATCAAACTATGGGTTTGCTTCATGTAATAAGTCCAGAAATACAGTCTATTGCAGCCATGGACGCCAAAACACAGGCCACTGGGGAGTGAGAAATCTCGTATTTTGAGGGTTGTGTTATTGAGACCATGACCTTCATTCCAATGATCCTAAAATTGCTTGTGCTAATTCAGGGAATTTCATCCAGTTTCCAGAGAGCAACAAGGAAGGAGAGCAAGGGGAACTCGGTTAAGAGAAAAAGAGTGACAAACCATCCCCCGATCTCCAACAGCTCACTAGGAATCCAAACCAGTGAATTTTGCCGTCCTCGTTGGCCAGGGGTATAAGCTCTGCCCACCATCGGTTATGAGAAAAACTGGGAAATGTGTTCAAAAACATCAAACAGCATTGTGGCCAGCCTGGTGGCACAGTGGTTAAGTGCAAATGTTCTGCTTTGGTGGCCAAGGGTTCGCTGGTTTGGATCCCGGGTGCGGACATGGCACCACTCATCAAGCCATGCTGTGGCAGGCGTCCCACATATAAAGTAGAGGAAGATGGGCATGGATGTTAGCTCAGGGCCAGTCTTCCTCAGCAAAAAGAGGAGGATTGGCAGCAGTTAGCTCAGGGCTAATCTTCCTCACAAAGACCCCACAAAACATTAAACAGCATTAACTCTGGGAAAACAAACCTAGGTACCTTTAGTAAAGAGGAGAAGAATGGATATGGCCGGGCAGTTGACAGAATCAGCCATGAGCCCACAATGAAAGTCAGAATAAGTAGCCCACATCAGCAACATGAAGACCACGACTCTGACCACAACACGGTCAAATCACGACCGATAACAGCAAACGGACAAAAATGGTATCGCAGAGCACACCAAATCTAAATTAAATGTGGCTCAAACAGGGCTTCAAGTTGGTGGGATGACATGTATGTAACTGAATTGCACTGAAGCTACTACGTACAAAATTCACATGGCAGAGTTTTCAGGGTACACAGAGGGGCAGTTCACCGTCTTACAGGATTTTATTAGAAAAGAATACGAGAATTCAGGAAAGACTTTCCCTACCCATATAACCTCCTTCTGCACCCAGTATTTTGAGAAAATTAGTGAAGCTTTTCCCACATTCCTTTCATTCACTGGGCTTCTCTCAACTGTGAGTCTTCAGATGGATTTTAAATCCTGAAGAATGAGCGAAGGCTCTTCCACACTCCTCACATTTATAGGGTTTCTCCCCAGTGTGAATCCTTATATGTTCAGTAAGATTTGAGGATTTACTGAAGGCTTTCCCACATTCCTTACATTCAAAGGACTGCTTCACGATGTGCTTTCTGACATGCTTATTAAGGTGCAAGGAATATCTGAAGGCTTTCCCACATTTCTTACATTCATAGGGTTTCTCTCCGGTGTGAATTTCCATGTGTCTTCTAAGGAATGACTGATAAACGAAGGCTTTCCTGCAGCTGTGACATCTATAGCTTTTCTCTCTAGTCCCACTTCTCCTGTGCTGATCAGAGCTTGGAATGGGGGCAAAGGTTGTTCCACGTCGATTATTCTCATTATTTGCCTGTGCCATATAAGACCGCATCTGCGCAGCACAGATCGAGTCATTTTGGAAAGTGCTTTCACATTGGTCAGACTCATAAGTTTTCTCTTTAATGTGAGTTCTGTGTGCCCAAAGGGAAAACTCTTGGCTAAAAACTCTTCTAAATGGATCCCACTCACGAATGTCCACCCCCACGTAAGTTTTATGATGCATGTGAAGCACATTGTTCTGATTGCCAATCCATGTGTTTGATTTTGGAGTCCTCACACATGGAATGAACGGAATGCTCTGCCTCCAGACTCTATCGTATTCATCGTTTTTATAAAGTTTTTGATTACTGGTTAAGACAGAATTTTGTTTCAAAATACTCGAACCACATTGTGGGATATATCGTCTTGTGGAATCTCCCTGTGAAGGCACAAGCTTTGAGCTAGGTTTAGAATTGTCCCGCATGCCACAATATTCACAGGCTCCAGCTGGAGACCCATCTCTCTCTCGGGCAACAGCAACTTTCTTCAATTTCTGCCCCCTCTGCTGGCGTGGCTCCTCTGTTTTGTGGCATTTCCAGTCTTCTCCTAATGTGGGGGTCCGGGAATTGTTGCTCACGAGACACACTCTGTTCGCTTCATGAAATGTCTTTTTAGCAAGAGTGTCCCGCTGAGGGATGGAGTCTCTGGTGTTATGTTGAGTCACCCAATCTGAAATAAAGTGGCACAAAAGTTACGTTCTTGGTTGAAAGGAAAGGTGGGCGGGAGATGATAAAAATCCCTGTATGGGATTGCCTGTGTAGATTTCCAAGTGGCTTGCCCATTGTGCAAATGTCCATGTGGATTTCTTTTCAAATGTTCACTTGACATATGGGAGGCAACTGTGAAAAGGAGGAAGGAAGACTGAGCAAGCAGAGGAAGCCATTAAGGACTTGGGCCGTGTCAGGAGACTGACTCTGGTAAGGACAGGGGCTCAGTATGGACGGCATGCTGCTAAGAAATGGTTCTGCAGAGACTGAGGGTATGATTGAGAATGCCAAGTGGAAAAGAATTGGACAAAGAATCTGTAATGGACTGAATTCGTGTCCCCCCCCCCCCCCCAAAATTCCTGTGTTGCAGCTCTAACCCCCAGTGTGATGGCATTTGCAGGTGGGGCCTTCAGGAGGTAACCAGGCTCAGATGAAGTTGTGAGGGTGGATCTTCCATGATGGGATCTGTGTCCTTATAAGAAGAGGAAGAGACACCAGGGCTTTCCCTCTCTCTCGGCCATGGGAGGACACAATGAGAAGGTGGCCACTTGCAAATCAGGAAGACAGCTCTCATTAGGACCCAAATCTGCCGGCACCTTCATCCTGGGCTTTCCAGCCTCCAGAACTGTGAGAAATAAATGTCTGTTGTCTAAGCCACTCAGTCTACTGTGTTCTGTCATAGCAGCCTAAACAGACTAAGACAGAGTCCATGAACCTTTTTTTTTTTTTGAGGAAGATTAGCCCTGTGCTAACATCTGCTGCCAATCCTCCTCTTTTTTGCTGAGGAAGACTGGCCCTGAGCTCACATCCGTGCCCATCTTCCTCTACTGTATATGTGGAACGCCTGCCACAGCATGGCTTGCCAAGCAGTGGGTAGGTCCACACCCGGGATCTGAACCAGCGAACCCCAAGCTGCCAAAGTGGAACTTGCGAACTTAACTGCTGCACCACAGGCCGGCCCCTCATGTGCCATTTTAAAGATGAAGGGGGACAAGTCTTTCTCTGGGAAAAAAAAGGGAAGATATGAGAAGACAGATGAAAGTCAAAAAGCTCTATGTACCTGAAGAAGCTCACATATAGAGGAGCCTCAGCTTTCCTCAGATCAAATGGATTCTTTTTAAAAAATTGAGGTGAAACCCCCAGAATATAAAATTAACCATTTTACAGTGTACAATTCAGTGGCATTCAGTACATTCATCGTGTTGTACAACCATCATCTCCGTCTAGTTCCAGGATATTTTCATCGCCCCAAAAGGAAACCTCGTACCCATGAAGTGGTCACTCCCCATTCTCGCTTCCCTCCGTCCCCTGGCAACCACTAATCTGCTTTCTGTCTCTATGGATCCAGCTGTGCTGGATATTTCATAGAAATGGAATCATATAATATGTGGCCTTTCCTGTCAGGCTTCTTCCACTTAACATAATGCCATTGAGGTTCATCCTCATTGTAACATGCATCAGAGCTTCATTCCTTTTCATGGGTGAATAATATTCCATTTTGGGGCTATACCACATTTTGCATCTCTGCTCATCTCCTGATGGACACTGGGTTTGTTTCCACCTTGGTGACCGTGAATAGTGCTGCTATGAACACAGGTGTACCTGTATCTTTTTGGACACCTGTTTTCAATTCCTTGGGGTATACACCTAGGGGTGGAATTGCTTGGTTACATAGTAAATCTATGTTTAAATTTTTAAGGAACCGCCAACCTGCTTCCCACAAGGTATGGCGTGAATTCTCAGTCAACACTTCCACGTTGTTTGTAAAATCCTTCCTCCTAAGGATTCATATCTGCCTGGCACTCAGGGGCACACGTGCCCAGGGAAAATCCCCCAGACCCACTTCTTGCTCCAAAGGGGAGATCAGATGGGGTTTTCCTACTTGAGATCCTGGTCCCGGGGAAATGGGGGAGTGCATGATGTAAGGCAACGGGGCCAGGACTTTCCATAAAATGGGTGCATGCTTTGGTTTGCATAGATTCTGGAGCAAAGCAAACAGGAATACAGAGCAACAACTCGGTCCCTCCGTTTTCCTCACGCATGCGCTGAAACGCTCTGTGCTCTGTGCTCACCCACTTAAGGATGCCCACAGGCTGTCAATCATGAAGAGCATCAAAGAGCAATGCGCCAGACAGTTTCCAGTTTCAAGGCGGAAACACTACGTCCACCACGTGGGGGCGGCAGCCGTTTCTCTGGAATGGAACAGTCCCGTTCCCGTTTCTCAGCGCCCCTCCTGGGACCTGACTCGTACCCCTCTCGTCGGCGACGCAGCGCAGGAGGGGGCGTCCTTACCCACGGAGGCCAGGTTCCTGCAGTTCTCCAGCATCACGTCTCTGTAGAGCGTCCTCTGTGCAGGGTCCAGCAGCGCCCACTCCTCCTTGGTGAAGTTCACAGCCACGTCCAGGAAGGTCACCGGGTCCTAAGACAACACACCGTTTTGGCTCAGTGGGGCGCTGTTGGGAGTCGCTCCCCAAGACATGCTGAAATCCTACGCCCCAGGGCCTGCAAACGTGACCTGATTTGGAAATGGGGCCTTTGCAGATGTAAACCAGTTAAGATGAGGTCAGACGGGGAGTAGGGGGGGTCCTAGCCCAATGGCTGGGGTCTTCACAAGAGGTGGACATCCGGACACAGACACATGGAGGGAAGAACATCTCTCGACGAAAGTGGACACTGGAGGGATGTTATCTACAAGCCAAGGAACGAACGCCAAGGAGAGGCCGTTGCAAGTTGTGTATGAAATCGTCCCGCCTCTAAATTGAAGGCAAATTAGGCACAATTTACCAAGGTTTGATATGCATTCATCCCTGATGCATTGGCATTCCAAAAATACCGTGCAAAGGTGCCCGGACCCGATTCCAGTGTGTGTGTGTGTGTGTGTGTGTGTAGGCTTCCCCACACGTGTGTGTGTGTGTGTGTGTGTGTGTAGGCTTCCTCACACCAACAAGCACCTGCTTGTGTCTGAGAATTCAACTCAACTGTGACATCATCCACCCAGAGACAGAATCAGATTCCTCAGGAAGGGGGCGCAGTCCCACAAAAACGCCCTGCACGTCAGAGCCAGTCACAAGCTCAGGTTGTTCCCTGAGCTTCTGACCAACCGACTACAAACTGGAGGTCCCCACGACTCCCCCCAACTCAGGATGCCGACGGCAAGGCCAGGTTGTTCCTTGTGCTTCCGTCCGACTGGCTGTAAATCAGGGGTCCCCACGGCCCCTCTCCGGGTTTGATTAATTTGCTGGAACGGGGCACAGCACTCAAGAAAAGCTGTTGACTCACTTGATAACTGATTTGTTACGAAGGATATTAAAGAATCAACAGCCAGATGAAAAGATACATAGGGTGAGGCACAGAACAGAGGAGCTTCTGTCCTTGTGGAGCTTGGGGACCAGCCTGGTGACATGTGGAAGCATTCCTGCTCCACAACATGGAAACTCGATGAAAAAGGAGCGATGAGCTGTCCTTTGGGGTTTTTATGGAGGTTTCATTACGCAGTCGTGACTGACTGAGTCATTGGCCATTGGCAATCTATCGAACTTCAAGCCCCCTCCCCTTCCTGGAAATCAGAGGATGGGACTGAAAGTTCCAGACCTCTGATCACACGGCTGATTCTCCTGGCAATGAGTCCCCACGTCATTAACATAAGAAGAAACACCATCGTCACTCTCAACCCTTAGGAAATGCCAAGGGTTTTGGGAGCTGTGAGCCAGAAACAGGGACAAAGACCAAATAGAGATTTATTACAGAATCCACAATATCACATACGCTGGCCAAAAAGTCAAGTGATATATATACGCACATAATTATTCATTGAAGGTTATTTATAACAGCAAAAGGCTGGAACTCACCCCAAATATTCAACAATGGGGGCTGCTTAAAAAACCATGACGCATCCATGAATGAATAACTGCACAGACGTAGATAAAAACGAATAAGCTCTCTTATATATGGATATAAGTGATAGCATGTGGTCTCCAGGTTATAGTTTATATTTTAAGTGAAACTAAAAAAAGGGCAAAGAGGGCTGGCCTGGTGGCACAGTGGTTAAGTGTGCATGTTCCACTTCGGCAGCCCGGGGCTCACGGGTTCAGATCCTGGGTGGGGACATGGCACCACTTGGCAAGCCATGCTGTGGCAGGCGTCCCACATACAAAGTAGAGGAAGATGGGCACGGATGTGAGCTCAGGGCCAGTCTTCCTCAGCAAAAAGAGGAGGATTGGCAGCAGATGTTAGCTCAGGGCTAATCTTCCTCAAAAAAAAAAAAATTCCAACAAAAAAAAGGCAAAGAGTATATATTGCAAACCACAGACTTTTTTTTTTAATCAGTGAGATGTAGGGGAGGAAGAAATTTTCCTCTACCCTTTAGGTTCTTCTGGCAGGTCTAAGAATTAAATCAACAAGAGATAGATTAATATGAGAATATAAAATTTCATTTTGTATGTACAGGAAACCCACATACGTGAGAAGGTCACTGACAGAAAGGTAAAGTGGGGTACACATGCCATTTTGAGCTAAGGAATGGGATGGGGCCTGGGGCGTCAGAGGGACAATAAGCAGGGAAATGTTCTGTAACTCTAGGTTTGTCCTGCTATACAGACGGGTCATTCTGGTATTAAGTTATTTCTGGTAATAACTCTTATTATGGGCAAGACTCTCAATTTAAATTCTTTAAGGGAGAGGTCAAAGTTTCTGCAGCCTGCGGGGTCTTGATTTCCTTTTAGCCCAAAATATTTCACGTGCCAAAGCGGCGCCTCTTGGTGAGGCCTGTTCTGAACCCCTTCATAGGAACAGGGCGAGGAGAAGGAAAGAAGTAAGACTTGTTTAAATATAACCTTGTCATCCAGATTTTAACTGGGAACCATGTAATGTTTACATATTCAAAAATAAAGAAAGCAATCTGAAAATGGAAATACTGAAATAAACGAAGCTAAGGGTATATCAAGCTGGCGGGTTAACGACCTGGAGTCAAAAGTTAATTTGACGTCCTTACTGTGTCATATTCTATTGTACACAAAGAAGGAAAATCGCACCTCTCACCAGGTGGCTTTACTGCTAAAAGTAATATTGGCGCCGTTTCTTAGAAATATTTTATGCGCATTGCAGGATCAGGCAAAGGGGTTATGTTAATGTTGTTAGGAAGCAAGGTTTTTAGTCTATGAAGAAAGATTTAAATATAAAATAAAGTAAAAAAAGTCAGGTTTCTAATAAAATGTCAGCATAAACATGCCCACACACACAGCCACACCTGCCAGTCTATGCCGACAAAATGCTTAGACGAATTAACAAGCAGGAGGCGAGGGGAAACAGCTGATCCAGGAACGGAAATATAAAATGAGTCAGCCAGAAGCCAGAGCCGCCGTCCTGGACCGTGTGAAGAGGATGCTGCACGAGTGTTCCAATGGCCCAATTTAGGATATCCTGAACCACAAAATTGCAATGGATTGAAATACACTGAATACTAAAAATACATGAACTCAGAGTGATGCTCAAAAAAGGGCAAACCAAAGCAGGGGGAAAAAAGCATTTCCTACCATTGGACGCAGGCTGCATCCTTATCTGGAAACTTGGTTTCTGAATAAGGCAGAATTAAATCTTCCCTCTGACTTTCTAGCAGGAACGTTATTTAAGAGGAACTGAATAGCCCTTGCTGATAACAGAAAACTTTACAGAATTCTGGCTAAAAACCCAGAAGCAATGATTGCATTTAAAAACCACCATCTTGCAATCCAAATGAAATAATTGATTCAAAAACCAAACAGGAATGGATGCTAAGACACGGAGGGGAAAAAGGGAAGGGGCCGTGGTTATCTGCAGAGTAGGAAGACATCACTTTGCTCGGTACTCGCTGGATGATTACAACTTTAAGAAGTGAGAATGGAGCTGTCTCCCCACCTGAAACCAGCGATGGATTTTGGCTTCGCCCACACCGGGGCAAGAGCGTTTTTATTTTCACCAATGTGATGTATTAGGAAGCACACACCACTTGAGACGCACCGCTGCAAAAACGCTCACCCTATTCAAACCATGCCCTGAGGTCTAACTTTCAACCGCATGCGGGAGCAGTCACACAGATCCACAACTGGGACCTTCTACTGCGCCGACGGGTGACTTCAACCTGCCAACGTCAGGAACAAGAAGGAGGTGAAGGGCCGGCCCAGTGGCACACCGGTTAAGTGCGCACGTTCTGCTTCAGGGGGCCGGGATTCGTAGATTTGAATCCCGGGTGTGGACATGGCACGGCTTGGCAAGCCATGCTGTGGTAGGCGTCCCATATGTAAAATAGAGGAAGATGGGCACGGATGTTAGCTCAGGGCCAGTCTTCCTCGGCAAAGAAGAGGAGGATTGGCAGCAGCTAGCTCAGGGGTAATTTTCCTCAAAAAAAAAAAAAAAAAAAAGAAAAGAAAAAGAAGGAGGCAAGTTGAAGGTAGACTATGAGACCTGAAAGAGAAACATCACCTGTGCAATGTGTGGGCACCCTGCTTAAAAGAAATCTAACTGTTAAAGACATTTTTGGTGGAAACTGGTGAAATTTAAACCCTGACCACACATTATGAGTTATTTCTTTATCCAGGCATGATATTTGGTATCCCTGATTTCTAGGAATGCATTATTTTTGGTATTTAGACAATTTTTTATTGTGTTTTTTACATTTTGCACTTATATGGTACTGCATTTTGTATTTTGAAAAAAGATTTCAAAATTCGAAACATTTCAGAGTAGAAACTAAAAATACATGGACATTAAATACACATATAAATTTCTAATGTCTACGAACAAAGTCAGATGATATCAAAGATTGGTATATGTGTTTATATATTAAATACATCTTCATCAACATTAGCCCAATGATGTACTTTATATATATAAATTTTTTATATAAATTATATTATAATATAGCCATGTTATATAATATAGCCATATGTATTATTAATTATATATCAATATATTATTAATTATATATTATATACAAAACTTTATGATAAAATGTAATAATCATTATATAGTGACATATTTATATATAATTTTATAATAAAATATTTTTATACATATAAAATTTTATGTATAAAACTGTTGGTTGGATGTAAGTTGGTACACTTTGTGAAAAAAAAAATGACTTTTGGGGGCTGGCCCGGTGGTGCAGTGGTTAAGTTCGCACGTTCCACTTCGGTGGCCCAGGGTTCTCCAGTTCGGATCCAGGGTGCGGACTTGGCACCGCTTGGCAAGCCATGCTGTGGTAGGCGTCCCACATAGAAAGTAGAGGAAGATGGGCATGGATGTTAGCTCAGGGCCAGTCTTCCTCAGCAAAAAGAGGAGGATTGGCAGCAGTTAGCTCAGGGCCAATCTTCCTCAAAAAAAAAAAAAAAAAAAAGATTTTATACAGAAAATCTGAATATCCCCAAACCTACTATACCCAGTAATCTTACTCTAAGATATATATTGTGGAGCTGTCTTTTCAAAACTTAGCAAGCATAAGAATCACCTGGGATCCTGTCAAATGCAGAGTCGCATTTGCTAGGTCTGGGGAGGAGCCCGAGAGAGGAAATTTCTAGCAGGTTCCCAGTGGATGCCCATTTTGTTGGACAAAGTGGATGGCACTTTGACCAGCCAAGTTGGAGAGAAAGCACCTGTAAGCACCACACTGCTGGGCTGGCCCCTACAAAGAATTTTAACTGGAGTCAGAGGCAGAGAGCTAGTCTTGGCTAAACATTGATTGACCATTGATTCCATCTTCAGAAAGTCCATGATCCTCAGTCTCTGTGATGAAGATGTTAGTTCTCCTGCTGAATTCTCAGACAATTGCTTGTAAAACAATTGCCCTTTTGGCCCAGTCAAAGCTTCAAGACGGCAAGGCAATTTCTCTGGAAAGGCAGCTCTGACTCCATTTGAAATGGCTCCGCTATAGTCAGTTTTAGCAATAGAAAATTCAAGACAGCGATTAACCCCGAGAGGAAGAAGGCAATGGGGTCAGAAGGAGCACGCTACCTCGAACCAGCACAAGTGGTTGATTCCTTAATCTGGGGACTTACATATTTATTATATTATTTAAAAAGTTCTACTTATAACTTTTATGTGCTCTTGTCTTTATGAAATTTTTCCTAAAGTCACATATTATACAACTTGGATTAAAACAATGTTATTATATTTACTCTATCATGTAATCTTACAGCCAATCCATTCTTGGTTTTAAAAAGCTGAGTCGCACAAAAGAGCTTTCTAAACATTTGTGTTAAATTATGGAAAGTGTCAAACATACACAATACAGAGAGGATGAAAGAAAAGAAAGCCCTTGTCTGCCACTGACCCAGTTTCCACACACAGCCTCGTATCATCTTCCTATCTCCCTCCATTTCCCTTCTCCTACTGTATTATTGTAAACAAAACTCCAGATATCATAGCATTTCATTCTTAACTACTGTCACTCTAGCTCTCTAAAGCATGAGGGATCTTTTAAAATGTGATGACAACATTATCACACCAAGAAATACCAGCAGTAATGCCACTAAAGAATCAACTATCTAGTCAGTCTCCAAAACAAGACCCACGTGTTGCATTTGGTCACTTAAGTCTTTCAAAATCTGCAACAATGACCTCTTATATTAGCAGTGGGAGAGTGTACAATGACCTCATTTTCATGAAATAAAGGGAAAATAAGTGTGGAAAATAGTAAAAGAAATCTCAACGAAGTTCGAGTTGGCAAGACCTGTAGGGGGAGCTCTCAAGCCCCATCATACCTCATCAATTACATGGAACAGGAAGAGACAGATGATTGCATCCTGCAGAGGACCTAAAACTTCTTAGCTACTGAAGGAAGATTTCTTTCCCTACCTGGCAACAGCTCAGCCAATCCAAATGCTGCAGCTCAGCCAATGAGAAACACCACAGCTCAGCCAATGAGAAACACTGCAGCTCAGCCAATGAGAAACACTGCAGCTCAGCCAATGAGAAACACTGCAGCTCAGCCAATGAGAGACATCACAGCTCAGCCAATGAGAAACACTGCAGCTCAGCCAATGAGAAATGCCACAGCTCAGCCAATGAGAAACACTGCAGCTCAGCCAATGAGAAACACTGCAGCTCAGCCAGTGAGAAACATCACAGCTCAGCCAATGAGAAACACTGCAGCTCAGCCAATGAGAAACATCACAGCTCAGCCAATGAGAACCTGTTGCCTCCTTGAACTGTTACTTTCCCCGAATGGATTTTCCTTTAGAACAGCCCCTCCCCCTCCCCCTTTTCCTCTGTAAAAGCAGCTCCTTTCCTTTGTTTGCTGGATTTGCCTGTGGTTCACCATAGCACGCACTTCCTGAATTGCAATTCTTTTGGGTTTTCCAAAATAAACTCATTTTGAGGGTAAAATAAGAGGCCAATTTGTTTGTAAGTTGATGTAAAGAACTCTGAAAAGATATGCAAGGATCTATAAAGTGGTTACTTCTGGGCGGCCAGGAGTTGTAAACAGAGTGAACTAAGGCAAGATGGAGGAATGACTTAAAGGTTTGCCCTGATCATTTCAATTTTTAAGCACACCGATTTATTATAGACACATTCAAATAATAAATTATTAAATTAAACAGTTTAAATTTACAACTGAACTGATGAGTTTGACTTTTTTACATCGAAGTCAGGTTTCCAGCTAAAATAGGAATTCCTTCTATCTGAAAGGTTTCATGGCCTTTACATTCCAAATTCTCTAGGGGCACAAGCAACCTGCTGGAAGTCTAAATGTTCTTCCGGTTGGAACTGTATTCCCATATCTTCTTAAATATACCGATTCCATTTCTTAAGAAATATGCTACTTTGGTAATAAAAAATTCAAATATTTTATGTTGGGTTCCCAGATCCTCTTGTATTCACTCCTCTGGACTTCACATTAACTCAGGTTTTCATAAAAAAGAAATGCGACACTCAAATAATATTCTAAGGCTGTTAAATGCGCGGGCAAACGAGAGATTATAGGCAACCCGCTCATTGTGAAATGAAATCCATCCTGCCATTCAACAGGGGAACATATCAGACTCGGATGACGCCAGGTGCAAAGTCATAAGGAAATTTTTTTCTTAGTGTATTCTTACTCATTACGAAACTTTGTTCTCTAAAAATCATAGCCTACCATAAGCGTTGCTGTTTGCCATCATATCAGTAAGGAACATCCCCCTCTGGCCTGGGGGATCTAAGTCACTCGGACGAGAAGCTGACTCAGTCTGCACCTCGGGGGCAGAGCCTCAGATAAAGAGTGGGAGGCCACATTCCACAGCTATCTTGACCTTGTAGTTCGCAAGGAAACACCTCGACCCGATAATAACCTCTTTGCGCACGTCTCAACTTGAGCCTATCTAAATTTCATTTAAATTTACCCTGAACTCTGCCCTCTCCCCAATCCTAAATTGACCCCATCACTTCCTGGACTCGGCAGATTCCTCTGGCGTGCAATCTCCCTTCTTGCAAGAAACCAGCACAATTGGGGCCCCAGTTTCCTTCCTGGTGATCTCAGGCACATTAGCTTGGGGCAACGCGGAGAAAAGAAAAAGAATGCATGATTGTGAGTCAGCTCAGATAAGCAGGTACAAGGAAAACAGGCACATCTGGCAGGTGAGACGCATCCCCCCACCTGTGCCCGGAGCTGCCTGTGAACGAGACCTCACCGGAGTATACTGATGGCAAACACGCAATTTTTCAGACTATGGGGTTCGATCTTGACCGCACCATGCCGCCACTCTCCCATCAATTTGTCCTTCCAGAAACGCCCTCCATCTACGGAGATCGCAGTTCAGAAAAAGGAAGGATGTGCCCATCGAGCCGAACTCAAACCCCGAAACCCTCTCTTCAGAAGAGACCCTAGTGGCCAGCCTCTAAATCCGACCGTGCCCGGAGTTTCTCAGCTCATCCTCATCACACTGGACTCCAACACTTTTATGGATTCAAATAACACAACGCTGGCAACTGCAGCACGCGGACATCTCCTTGCCCACACCCAGGGACAGGGGCGTTTTGCAAGGTTGCAGCGCAGGGGGGTGGGGGAGCTTCTCCCTGGGGCAAGGTGAAGGGCGCATTTAGGGCTCAACACTTGGGGCCAGTCTTGGCTTCCCCTTTCCTCTGCTGGGGGAGAGAATCTGACTTTTGCAGACAGCTGCTCCCAACTCCCCGGAACCCGACCCCCGCCCGCCCACCCTTGGGGTGCATTTGTGCGACAACCCAGCACGCTTACCATTTCCCCAGCGCCGGCGTCTGGACTTGTCTGTGGATGGCGCAGCCCAAGAGCTCATTCCACGTGCTGGAGGGTTGCAGGGCTGCAGACAGGAGGGACGGAACTGTTAAAAACAAACAAACAAATAAATAAATACAATAAAATAACGAGCCCCCCCCCCCCCCCCTCCAGGACGCAGCGACGACACAGATTCGTCCTATACAGGCATTTTGTACCTGCTTCCCGAACTTCTCCTCAAAACGAGCGGCTGAAAGGGTTAAGGGGAGGAGAAGGAGGAGCCTAGCAGGAAGCGGATCCCGGGAGCTGCGCCCAGGCCCGCCCCCGGAACCCAACCTCCCAGAGCCCAGGGTCTGACTCCACCCGCGCAGGTTCGTTTTTCCTGCAGAACTTTCTCTGCAGGCGCTCCTGATCCTTGGAGGCAGGGGGACATCCCAGCGTCTGCCGAACTCCCAGCCTGTGGCCCTCCCCGTCCCCTCCGCCCGCTGCACCGTTTCCAGGCTCCCGGGCTTGCAAACTCCCGCTCTATGCAACCAACGCGCCTCCCTGCGGACTTTGTGCAAAGTCCGGAGATAACAGTCACTTCAGAAGGAAACGAAGCTTTTTCTCTGTGCTGTGAAAGGGCCGAAACGGACACGATGGAGGGTCCTCCGTTTCCCTCTTGGGCCCCTCTCCCTCTTTTCTTTCTGCTGCCTGCCTCCCCCACCCCGTGAGCTTTGATTAGCCGATAAACGACAAGGCTTGCAGAAAATACTGTTCTGACCATTATGGGGATTGTACCAGCGACCCGCCTCAGCGAGGAGCACAATGACCTCCGACCGCAAGTTGCAGTTAAAGAGGACAGCTGCCTAAACCCAAACTGCCAGGACATGGACCCACTTCCCTCCCACCCTGTTAAAAAACCTTGACCCGCGTCGCCTGGGGAGTCCCCTGATCTTCAGGTGCCCCGCTGTTTTGTTTGGGAGGGGGGCGCAAAATATGCTCAGAGACTGAGTTAGTCTTTGCCAGCAATTTATTTAACACGGGTTCCCTGCGGGAATCATCATAATTTCACAAGCCAATAGCACACAGGGTTTCTGTCTAATAAACCGATAAAGAAATATCCTCCAAACCAATGATAGATTAATCGCACTATGATTCCAGGCAAGCGGAGAGGACAGGAATAAAGCCTACATTCAGCTGAGATGTACCTTTGCTACAAGGTTGGTTGCGGGGAGAGCTGGTTTTGCAAAGTGGGAGCCGACATCTAGCTGCCGGCACAAAATAAAAGTCCCTTGTTGCTAGAGCACCCGTTGCTAGGCAACAAGGGCCTTTGTGTTGACAGCCGGGCTGATCTCCTCCTAGGGGTGCTGCCCGGGTTTCATCGCTTTGGACCAGGAGCGCCTGGCCACGGCTGGAGCTAGTGCTGGTAGAGCAAAGAGCTGCCTAGACCAGATCGAAACTCGCGAATAATTCTCGCAAACTCTGAGCGTTTATGGTCTAAATGTCCCCTTGCCTCTTCCCATGTTTTTATTGCTAAGCCCCAGTGACGCCTGTCAGCAGGTGTGTTACTGCGGGCTTATCTGCAGCCACAGACGTGGACAACGACGTCCTGTCACAGCGTATTTCATTCTTACATCAAAGCAACTTTACTCTTAACAGTAACTTCATTTTTGTCATAAACACGTGGATTTGCAATTGGATCAAACCAACGCGCAACATCCTCCAGGCACGTCCGCTGAGTAGCACGTCCGCTGAGTAGTTTTTACCTCTGTGGACAGATTTTTGGGATCCCTCTCGCTGGTCTAACAGGAGAATCTAGCAAGCCACCTGCATCGGCTTTAAGTCGGTACAATAAAAATCCATGTTGTGCCGTGAAGCAGCCGCACGGGCCAGTTCAGCCTGAGTCAAATGACCTCGCAACCCCGCATCTCGCGACTGAAGACGCCAGCTGGAGAAATCGGCCACAGGGAAAGATAAAGGGTACCGAGCTCCTGCATCCCCAGCTGCCTTTCTTGGAGCCTGAAGGAGTCATTAAGGACCCTGGTCCTTGCCTCCCTCCACACATAGATAACGTCAGCATCACCGAGCTTGTTGGATGTATAACCAGGGAATTCTTGTTTATGTTATCTCTAATGTATAATCTAGAGAAAAACCAGATGTACTCTATCCCTTTTGACATATATGGAATTTAACTCCAAGTTTTTCCCCTCTTCCCTCCATGGGCACTGTTTGTAAAAGATGTATAAGCTGCTCTTAAACCCACACGCTTCAGAGCAGTACTCCAAGAGCACTCTTGACCTGTTTCCCAGGATGAACTCCTCACTTTGATTATTGTATAAATTCCTTTACTAATGTTATCTACACTCTTGATTTCACTGACACCTCTATTTGAGTCAATTGTAGAATTTCTTTTTTTGTGTGAGGGAGATTGTCGCTGAGCTAACATCTGTACCAATCTTCCTCTATTTTGTGTGGGATGCCACCACAGCGTGGCCTGATGGGGGTGCTAGGCTGGCGCCTGGATCTGAACCTGTGAACCTCAGGCTGCCGAAGTGGAGCACGAGAACTTAACCACCATGCCACCAGGCCGGACCTTGTAGAATTTCTTTTTGACAGTCTCCAGCAAGATCTGATTTGCAGGTCTCCCCTCACCGTGGGGGACAGGAAAGACTGAGGTCAGCCTCCCTAGGAAGGAAGGGCATGGAATGGACCCTTTCTGGTTAATTAAATCGTTTATTTTTATGAAGTGTCTCCTCATTTCTAATAATGCAATGCCACCCTAAAGCTTACATTGTCTATTATTAATATATACCTAAACTTGTTTTTTTAAGAGACCATTTCTTTTAGAGCAGTTTAGGTTTTCAACAAAATTGAGAAGGAGGTACAGAGATTTCCCATATGCCCCCTTCCCCCCACATGCATGGCCTCCCCCCTTATCAACATCACTCAACAGAATGGTACTTTTTGGTTTTTTTTGAGGAAGATTAGCCCTGAGCTAACTGCTGCCAAGACTCCTCTTTTTGCTGAGAAAGACTGGCCCTGAGCTAACAACCGTGCCCATCTTCCTCCACCTTATATGTGGGACGCCTACCACAGCATGGCTTGCCAAGTGGTGCCACGTCTGCACCCGGGATCTGAACCAGCGAACCCCCGGCTGCTGAAGCGGAATGTGTGCTCTTAACCGCTGCGCCACCAGGCTGCCCCCCAAAATGGTACATTTTTTAACGGAGATGAACTGACATTGACAAATCATAATCACCCAAAGTCTGACAACAGATTTTCACATATTGAGGTAAATGGGGTAACTATTCAGGGTCAAAACTGATTCAGCTGGAACTGAAGAAGCCTGACTTGTGCCCTATCAGACAAACGTTGTACACCTGCTTTAACCATTAAAGTGAAGAATGCACTTGTGGGGGACTGGAATTGGCCACCCCAAGATACATCTATTTGGCATGAGGATTATTTTGGGCTGGTTACTTTTAAAAACTGCAGACAGGAGGGGGCTGGCCCCGTGGCCGAGTGGTTAAGTCCGTGCGCTCCGCTGCAGGCGGCCCAGTGTTTCGTTGGTTCGAATCCTGGGCGCGGACATGGCACTGCTCATCAAACCACGCTGAGGCAGCATCCCACATGCCACAACTAGAAGGACCCACAATGAAGAATACACAACTATGTACCGGGGGGCTTTGGGGAGAAAAAGGAAAAAATAAAATCTTTAAAAAAAAACTGCAGACAGGAGAGAAACTCTGAAAAGTAGAAATTACTTACCCTTTGTTAAGAGACATTTACATTCATGAAGGAAATTTCCGTCTGTAAATGTGTCTCCCTCTCTGTACCAGGAAGAAGGGGAGATGACCTTATCTCTAGAAACTTACCAATGCCAAAGGCAAGGAATTAAATCTGCATAATAACCTGACTCTTGTTTACTGTACTTGTCTGGTATCCTCCTATAACTGACTCCCCACACCCCCAACATCCTCCTTTGTCTTTAGCTGAGGAGAGTATTTAAGATGAGAGCCTCTGCCATCTTGGAGAGTTACTCAGTTTTCCTTGTTCTCTCCCATGTATACATGTTATAAAGCTTTGCTTGATTTTCTCCTGTTATTCTGTCTCATGTCAATTCAATTTGTTGTCTGGCCAGAAGGACCTAGAGTGGGTAGAGGAGATGTCTTCCTCCCTTATGCGCTCTCTTAAGATGAGAATATGTCCTTCCGCTGCTACGCCCCCTATTGGTAACACCCTACTGGTAACGCCTAGTCCCTTTCCTGACATGAGGGTCATGTCGACCTGCTAATTTACAACTAAATACCTCTTTGAAACTTTGATGAATGTATATCCTGGGCGTGTTTAATGAATGTTCTTTGTTCTAAAAATGTATAAGGTACTGAAAACCACGCTTCTCCAGAATGCTTTCTTCCTTTCTGGAAAAGACCTTTCTGGGTTGTAATTCTCATTTTGGCTCAAGTAAAACTCACCTTATCTCTCTTATCCATGGAATGGTTGTTGATTATTTTGCGTCAACAAGTCCATAGTTGACTTTAGGGTTCCCTCTTGGTGTGGCACATTCTGTGGGTTTGGACAGATGCGTGATGACGTGTATCCATCCTAATATCATACACAGTGCAACCACAGCCCATTTAGAGCCAGTCTGAGCAGGCCCCATCTCTTATTAACAGAGTGATTAAGAATTGTCTTTCAGAAAATTTGCAAAGTCACGTAGCCAGAGCATGCACAGAGGAAGAAATCTTGACCTGAAATGACCATAAAACCAAAGATCCTCCTCCCCACAGAACCAAAGGACCAGGACATGACCGGAACTCAAAAGTCGGAGTCTTATCAGAAGTGAGGGGTCTGTCATTCAGGAAAGATCTACTGTGAGGATTTCTTCCCTACCTTATCTTAAATGTTTCAAAGCTTACCATAAATGTTTAAAACCTTATCATGAATGTTTAGAACCTTAACATAAATGTTTGAAGTCCAGCAATCAAAATTTGTCCTACCAGCATTTCCATGTGCCAGCCTATTCTCCCTAACCTCTTAAATTGCACCCTAAATCCTGAATTGGGGAGACAGATCAGAAGGCAGATGCCCCTTGTCTCCCTATGGATCGATCTTACAGAATAAAGCTGATTTATTGTCCCAAAAGCTGATGCTGCAATTAATTGGCTTGTTTATGTGCATCTGGCAAGAGAATCCCATTTTTCTGTGGTAACGAGTATTTTCACTGCCCTAAATATCCTCTGTGCCCTGCCTATTTATCTTTCCCCCTTCACTCAACCTACACTCATTTAAAAAGAGATTTTTTTATTGTGATAAAATATACATAACAAAATTTTCCATTATGCAACCATTTTTAAGGGTACAGGTCAGTGGCATTAAGATAATTCCCATTGTTATGCAGCCATCACCGCTATCTGTTACTGAGCAATGGGCTCACTCCGCTCACCTCAATCTGAGCCAGTTGATCACAGTGAGTTAGCCATTGAGAAAGGAAGATTTAATTTGATTAGCTGGCATAATCAGGAAGATGGCAGACTAATGTCTCAAAAAAAACCAATCTTCAAGAATTAGAGAATCTTGGGGCTGGCCCAGTGGCGCAGT